ATTAAAAGAAAAAGGAAACAGTTCTTAAAACTAGTCTGCATGAGTCCAAACCTGCCTTAGACTTCTGCTATTTTTAATTTGATTTACTTAGAACTGGAAAAGGGAAGTTAAACAGAGATATTAATAAGTTCAAACATTGCAGTGCTTAAGTTCATTGATACTGTGTAATTTTTAAAATAATGCCCACTTTTCATCGAGAAGTTGGAGAGTGTCAAATTTTCTTTTTCTTGAGGTATAAAAAATGCAAGAGAATCCTAGTTAATTGAGGATTGTTGGGAGGACTCCCAACATTGGCTAATTTAGGGAATGATCATCGGTTATAAGTAAGGAACACATATCCATTGATATGAAGCCTTTTAGGAAATCCCAAAGCAAAGCTATGAGAGCTTATGCTCAAAGTGAACAATATCTTACCATTTGGAAAGTCATTATTCTTAACAGTTAATGTGTGTTATCTTTTTTAAATTACATAGTTCGTTTATATTGTGCCACGGTTGATGTTAACTAATTCAAAAACTATCCAAGTCATCAAATAAATCTCTTCAATTTTTTCCTTTAATAGAAAGGACGTTTAATTGAAAGGATGTAATATTTAGGTGAACAGTGAACACTATCGAAAGCCAGAGCAGTTAGTAAAATCCCTTTAAGTTGCTAAAAGGACTACGTTTGGAGCTCCAAATTTGTAAAGGAAATTTTGTCCCATGCCCTATCCACATATATTGTTCACACTTTCGATAAAAGGGTTCTGCCCTTAAGCCACAGAAAAACAGGACAAGACAACTTTTGACAAGATAAGCAGCTCAAGGTACCAGCCTAACTACTAAAGAAGCTTCCTCCACAGTCCCTAAGTTAAAGGATAGGAAAAGAAAAGGTGGTTTGTTGATTATTGAGTTGCTCTTGCATAGGAAATAGGGTGTAACAGCCCAAGCGCACCGCTTAGCAGATAGTCTTATTTGGGCTTTCCCTTTCGAGCTTCCCCTCAAGGTTTTTAAAACGCGTCGGCAAGGGAGATGTTTCCACACTCTTATAAAGAGTGCTTCATTCTCCTCTCCAACCAATGTGGGATCTCACAATCCACCCCCCTTCGGGGCCCAGCGTCCTCGTTGGCACTCGTTCCCTTCTCCAACCGATGTGGGACCACCCAATCCACCCCCAATCGGGGTCCAGCGTTTTTGCTGGTACACCGTCTCGTGTCCACCCTCCTTGGGGCTCAGTCTCCCTACTGGTACATTGCCCAATGTCTGCCACTAATATCATTTGTAACAGCCCAAGTTCACCGCTAGAAGATATTGTCCTCTTTGGGGTTCCCTTTTTGGGCTTCCCCTCAAGGTTCTTATAACGTGTCTGCTAGGGAGAGGTTTCCACACCCTTAATAAAGAGTGCTTCGTTCTCCTCTCGAATCAATGTGGGATCTCACATAGGGGCTTGGTTGAAGCGCCAATGAAGGATATTTGAATTGAGCTTTCTATGAAGTGTTACTCCTTCCAAATCCAAGGACCGAATAACGAATTTAATTTTTGAAGACATGAATATGCAAATTGTTGAACTAATTGATCCATGTACTTTCGTTGCTTCAAATTGGAAGTCCCTAGTTCATGGTTTCACTAATTACTCTCCTCCTGTAACCATTGTTTCTGATACTAATTGGATTTTTTTAACCCTGGCTTAGATTTGGTGATCTCTAATCTTCCTCCTTTCTTCAACTGTCTCCTATTAATTTAATTTTTGTTTGCTGTCAAAGAAAGAGTAAGAAGTATCAAATTAATTAACCTATGATCTGTATACATTCTTTAGGTTTTGGGACACGTCATTTTGGCTTCAATTCTGTGGATTCGTGCCAAATCAGTTGATCTGAAGAGCAAAGCTGCCATAACATCCTTCTACATGTTTATATGGAAGGTATGCTGTAGGAGTTTATGGTAAAGCTGCCATAAAATAGTTGCTACTTTACTTTCAATATTTCAATATGTTATTAATTTCAAGTTTAATTTCTAATAGTTGTCCACTTTTAACCCGAGAGTCCCATGGATTGGTCAACCTCCATGTTTGAGATTAAAGATGTCAGATGCTTACAATATTTTAAAATCAGGGTCTCTAATGAAACTCATGACTTTCACTTAAAATTCAGGGCCTTCACCAGTTGACGTATCCAATATTCTTGAAAAAAAGAATACTTGTTTATTTTTAGTTTTCTATTTTTAACTTTATGTCAGTGATTAGGAACCTTCTTTGTTTAGCTTTCAAAATTGATTTTGAAACTGTAGCCGTTTTAGAACACTAAATAATTTTTGGTGACTAGTTCTTAGTTTCCGGATAGAAAGTAGGTAAGAAAATAAAGTAAATCATTAGTAGGCAAGTGTAATTCTTAAGAACTTTTAGGCATAGCTCTAATTTGTCTTTAAATTTAAAAAAGTGTGTATTAGTGTTTTACGTTTTTAAGTTTTTGGAAGTGTTTAATACAACCTTACACTAGGTCCCAACTTCATATAAAATTTTTTACATTGGAAATAATAAAAAGTGTCTAATAGGTCTTTTAATTTTTTGGAGATGTTAGGTGATTAGATACAAAATTAAAAGTTCGAGGACCTATTAGACATTTTTTACAGTGTAAGAAGATGTTAAGGATTGATTAGATACAAAATTTTACGTTCGGGACCTTTAGACATTTTTACAGTTTAAGAACCTATTATTCGCAAAATTAAAAGTTTAGGGTTCTTTTAGACATTTTAAGTTTAAACACTTGGATGTTAATCCTGCCCTGTTTGTCATTTTGGTGGTAGTCAATGGGCAAGTTTTTTTTTTTTTTTTCTTCCTTTTGTAAGATGAGAGGCTGCCCCATTCCACCATATAGCATTAGGATACAAAATATTAGAATAGTCAACCCATGAGTTTTGACAAGGCACATTTCATTCAAGAAGTGATCCATTTAAGCATTCCTTTATACCTAATAGCTTTCTTTCCTACACGTAGCGATTCTTCAGGTACCATTATCATCTTTAAGATATTTATATTATAGCATTTCACTTGTTAGGATGAGATAAAACTGGATGGATAGTCGAAACAGGCATAGCTAAATGAAGTTTGGTTCACTTGGGGCCACTATTGTGACTTAGAGTTCGTTGGAATGATATTTTAAGTGCTTGAAAAATTTTGAAGTCTAAAAATTTTGAAGTTATTTCCAACCGACCCTTATATACGACTAGGGTGGGGAGAAGAGAATATTCGTGTAGAAATTGGATTTTCGTCCTCTAAGAAATCTACGCAATGAATAGAATTTAATCTTCAATTCAATTCTCCAATGCAAACTATTAAAATGTGGATTAAGAAAGTACAGAACATATGGCATAGTTTATCATTGGCACCAAATTTGGTATTTTATCTGTTTGGCGAATTCATGACTTAGTAGCTCGGTATGGTTCATTATTTTCTTAGTTTCACAATGTACAGAAGTAGAGATTTGAACTTTTGACCTTTTGATCGAGTGCATATATCTTAGTCAATAGAGCTATACTCAAGTTAAGCATAGTGTTCTTAATGTCTTAAAAGATGTCTCTCTTCAAGCATCTATGTCGAAGGTGTTACAAATTTAAGAATTACAAATTTATTCCTTTTTATAATTGGAGCCTTTCTTTTAGTTTTGTTCTAAAAGACATCTAAAACATCTCGCTCTTTTTGACTGTGTATAATTTTGTTCTGATGTGCAGCTGTTTTATGCGGAGTATTTGCTGATACCGTTTGTCAGGTGAGTGGATGAAGAAAAATGTGATTAGTTAGAGAGTCGGAGTATAATGGAAGGTAGCGTTGTACAAAATTATAGATGTTTTTGTATTATTAGTTTTGTGCTGAAATATTCTTCTCTCAAATTCATTTTCCTTTGTTTACTTTAGCTACCTAGAAATATGATGGATATATAGGATAAAGATTTCAAAACTTGATGGTCGAGAAATCAACCCCATGCAATATGTTTTATGACTAGGGAGACCTATTTTTTATGCCTAAAATTTGAGCTCTACTTTTCGTTTTTGGGTAGAGTTGGATGTATTATATTTTCTACACAATTCACACATGCATGTATGAACCTACTTGACAGGCTCGTTAACATACTTCTAGGCTTAACTATGGACTAATGCTTTCAAAATGGATAGAAATTGTCAAGTCGAGCCAATCGAGCTAACTGACGTCAAACCAAGCTAAGAAAGCTGACTGAAGATTTTCCTTTTTCAATTCAACTATAACATAAATACTTCAAAAGTTAAACATAATAGATCTGTTTTTTTAACAAACATGTAACCAAGTACACCTCCTTAAATTAAAATCACTTACCCCCTGGGTTGAATGTAAATAATAAAATGCTTAAAAGAGTAAGAGATTTAATATTCTATTAGTTATTCTTCTACAATTAAATATAGTAATGTCATAAAATATATAAATTAAAATAACTTTAATGAAAAGAATTGAATAAAATACTTTTGAAAAAGAGGTTGGAACTAGATTTCAAACGCACCTTTACTCAACCCATCTTTGCTTATTAGCATAAACATTGTATTTCCTTTCCTTTTCCCTTTGTCTTTTTCTTTAAAAAAGATAATATCCATATTCTTCGAAACAAAAATTCAAAAGTGAAATTAAAAAAAAAAATGTATATTTCTCAGTCATAATGTCTCCAAAGTCAAACTTATTATTTTAAACTTGAATTATTTTTTATTTTATATATATATAGTTTTGGATTTAATTCTTTTTTATTTTGAATACTAAAAGAAGCTGCGAGCAAGAAGATTAGAGGGAGAGAAGAAGAGACGGGAAAATATAGGGTAAGTAATTTTATTGTTTGAATGCTTTAGGGTTAGTTAGGGTTAGTTCCTCAAACGATAATTATAATATGATTGATGTCATATATGCTAGCAATGTATTTGATGAGAACGTTTATGCATGAATCTTTTAAGAACTAATGTTTTCGAGATGTTGGACTTCATGCTGTGTGTGATCATTATATATGCTTTTTCTTTGATTTTATGCTCGTTAAGGGTCCTAAATGCATGAATGTGAGATATGCAGGGTCAGTGTGTATGAAAATGATGTGTATCTAACAATGCTGACCTAGTAAGTTTTGTGTGAAAGTGATACACATCTCGGTATAAAAAAGGAATTGCAATCCAAAACTAGGTTTTAGGTCTCACTTCAACCATGATAGTCATGCTTGCATGTATATACATTTTTCGATCCCAACCGTTAGTTCACTTACTAAATATTTTTGATATTGAACTTTTTTCAATTTTTTTTTCGAAAAATCTGAGTAAAAAAACATGGTATTTACGATAGAAGTATTAGTATTGTTAATGAAAATTTTCAAACTCAACTGTACTTTCAAAATATTTTTTAAATAAAATATTAACGGTTTCATTAATATTAATCGATAATATTTGGCTGTGGAATTTAAAAGTTTTTTTTTTTAAAAAAAATTTTTTAGACAAAAAAAAAAAAAAAATAAATAAAATAAAATAAAGAGGAAAACCTAAAGATCTTTCATTTTCCTTTCCCTCTCACGTGCGCAACGCCACCTTCTTTGTCTTCTTCGTGCCGTCGTGTCCTCAGTCTCAGCAGCTGAGTGTACCCGCCTCATCTCTCCCGTCCAGCGCTACCGCCGCCGTCGTATTTATTCTGTTCGTGCCGCCGCGGCCTCCGTCCAACGGTATTGCACTGGTTTTCTACTTTCTTGGTGTTGCTATTGTTCTACCAATCTCCATCTGTGGCTTTCTTCTCATTTAAAAACAAATTAGGATTTGTATATTGAATACGTTTGTTTGATTTTTTTATCGTCTGAATAATAACAGCTGAAATGCAACGGAAATAAAATAATAATAACAAAAGAAATGGCTGGCAAATTGCCACTCAGTTTGTGTTGTCTGTACCGCCATTTTTTTTTATTTGTTGCATTATTGTTCGTCTTGTCTCTGCTGAAAGTTTCCATTGTTTCTACGACCATGAATTGAAAATTGAACCGTATTTGTATTGGATGTTTGTAGATTATAAATGGGAGAAGACAATGAGTTGTTTGAAAACTGAAATTCTATCCTTCAAATTCATCAGTTTGATAACCTTAACCAATGATACATTGAATTTATAAAAATGAGAATGGTTTATATGCTTTGTATTTCATGTTATTCATTCAAAAGTTATAGGTAGGCCAACATGAGTATAGTATAGACAAAATTCAAGAGATTCACTCGAGAGGAAGGATTTTTTAGATTCAAAATCAAAAGTTTGAAGTCTTATAGTTTGGAGACTTATGAATTGTGAAATATAAATTTTATTTTTATTTTTTTGTCTTCTTAGATATATATATATATTTTAAAATTCAATAATGTACGTAACACTAGATGAAAGTTGAGGTTTAAACTACCAACGTCAATATGATTCAATAGTAATTTTGAAAGTGAGTATAACTCAACGCTAATTGACATGTACCACAAAAGGTCAGAAGTTTGAATCCTCCATCTCCAACGTTGTTGAACAAAAAAAAAAAAAAAACTTCATGTAGTAATGACATACATTTTAGAGATTTTGATTGAGAGTTTATGTGTTTGAAAATTGTAATTGACGTTTACGCTTTCACTTTAGGTCGAATGGCGGGTTCAACTGAAGGGTTGGGTTCTGCTTCTGCAACTGTGGATGCAGTAGCCGATTCTGCCCCAGGTTCTGAAGAAACTATTAGCAAGAAGTAAGCATTCGGTGAATTTTTTACATTGTTATGTTTTAAGCTTTTGTGTGGAAATGGATGTTAACTTATTTAAGGTTAAGTTTAGTCTTAATAAGTAGAATTTTTCTGGGGTTCAATTTGATTGTTTTTCTATTTTTGTTTGAAATTCTATTACTAGTTGGATAGTTTTTCGTCGGAATGATGACTTCTGGAGTCTTGAGGTTGAACTTTGAAATGTTTTCAGTGCACGCAAGAAGGAATTAAAGCTGAAGCAGAAGGAAGAGGAAAGGAGGCGTAAGGAGGAACTCAAGGAGAAAGCAAAACAGGTACTAGATGTCCACCTAAAGATTTGAGCGTGTGTTTAATGCATTAATTAAGAACAGAGCATGGTGAAATAATTATTCACAGGAAATAGAAATCCATGTCGATTGAGATAACCAAATATGATATTTACAGTTGGCAATCTGTTTAACGACAATGTTTATCTGAAAAGAAATGAGTTGTGAGATGGTTAGATATCTTGCCATAATGTTATGTTTAACTACCACGACCGAAAGTTATTTGTGACTGAAATGTACTTATGATGTACCAGGAAGCATCCCAGAGTAAGAAATCTGTAGCAGTTGATGATGAAGAAATGGATCCCACGGTACAACTTTAATGTTTCTCCCTACCCAAGGTTATATATGCTAAGCCGTTGTTATCTCTCTCTTGCTTGCTTATATAACGTCTCTTTCAAAAATCTCTCTTTCTAAAATCTCTCTCTACCCTCGTTTTCCAAAACCTTCTTTTAAAACCGAGGCTAGAGGCTCGATCATACGTCGCTTGGCCGTAGGCGACGCAAGTACAAATTGGCTCAGCTCACTTGTCGTTGGAAAGTGAGTGCCGCACAATCGCTAGTCCGCTGCTTTTAAGAGTGCGATTGTGTCAAGTGGTATCTGAAAAGAAATGAGTTGTGAGATGGTTAGATATCTTGCCATAATGTTATGTTTAACTACCACGACCGAAAGTTATTTGTGACTGAAATGTACTTATGATGTACCAGGAAGCATCCCAGAGTAAGAAATCTGTAGCAGTTGATGATGAAGAAATGGATCCCACGGTACAACTTTAATGTTTTTTATTTTGACAAGTTTTGCTTCAGACCTTTAAGAACGGTTGTCAAACTGACTTTTCTCCCTCAATTGGCTTGTTTTTTGCAGCATTTTTTTGAAAATAGGCTGAAATATCTTGCATCTCAGAAGGCAGATGGTAAAAATCCATATCCTCACAAGTTTCAGGTTTCGATGTCTCTCCTCGAGTATATTGAGAAATATGGAATTTTAAACAATGGTGATCACCTTGAGGAAGTCTCGGAATCTCTTGCTGGTACTTGAACCAAAAACCATTTTCATGATTCTTTTTTTGTTCATTTCCAAATATCTTTTTTTAATCTTTTTTTTCTTTTTTTTTTTTTTGTCCCATTCAAGGGAGGATAATGAGCAAACGATCCTCCTCCTCGAGGTTGTTATTTTATGATCTTCATGGTTCTGGAGCTAAAATCCAAGTTATGGCTGATGCACGGTATGGAACTATTCTGTATCTGTCTGCACTATTTTAGTTCTAATTGTGAATATTATACTTTATGGTACTTTGGCCACTGTACTTCAACTCCAATTAATGGCTACATTTTTATTTATGTTAAAGAAATTTTTCAACGTTCCTTTTTAATTTCTGATCCTCTTTTCTTAATGAACTTCTTAGTAACTTTTATTTTTTCTTAAAAACAAACTGTTTCATCATATAAGCTATGCGTCTTTTCATGTCTCACTTTTCTTTCTCTGAGAGAATTTCCATTTTTCCACTTTCACGTATACAGTATTTTTTTGCTGTCAGTTCTTACCTGCACAATTTTGCTTCATTTATCTCACTTTTGTTTTCATTTTCCATCAATCTCCATAAGAATCATGGATAGTAATAACCCCGTGCTTTTGCATTAATGATTTAAGGCTCATATAAGAATTTTGTTGGAGAATTTGGAATTACGTAGATCCTGGCAAAACCACCTATTATACCCTATCATTTATGTCTCTTGAAATGCATATGCATCAAAGCTGTTGTCATGTCTTATTTTGTGTTTTATTCCATTGAGATTTGGTTCCTATTATGGTTTCAATTCTATACAAAGGCTATAACATTTCCATTTTAATGATGCAGTGTCTCAGAGCTCGATGAAGCTGAATTTGCGATGTTTCATGCCAGTGTGAAGCGTGGGGATATTGTTGGTGTCACTGGGTTTCCAGGTTGGGCTGCGAGAATTGCCCAGGCTCTTTCCCTTTACTAGTATTTTCACTTTATTTTTCAGAAGTCTAGTCTATTGTGTTTGCTCCACAATTGTCTTTTTTCCTTTCTGGTCCCTTCTGTGTGTTATCATGGTTTGATATATTCCTTGCATAGTTAAGGAAAGAGAGAGGAATTTGCAACATTGAATTTTTATTCAGTTTTGTTTCTCAGTTGTAGTGGGTGTGCATGATAAAACTGTTGTCCGTCACATCCTGTGCGAGAAATCCTAATAGCAAGCCCTTTATATTTCAATGCCGCTGAAAAACCCATGACTTCGCATTTTCTTCCTTGAGCTCTTTTGTGCTTCTGTCACATGACATTTATCAATATGTTCCATTTTTGCAGGAAAAACAAAAAGGGGAGAACTCAGTATTTTTCCAAAATCATTCATTGTCCTATCTCACTGTCTGCATATGATGCCAAGGCAGAAGGCGGGTCCTGGTTTTGAAAATGCAAATTTGAAGGTTAATAAAACTAGTTTCTCTATCAAGGTTGTTTAGACGAGCCCTCATGTTCTCATATTTGTGCAGAAAAATGACGCATGGGTCCCAGGTTGTACCAGGAATCCTGAAACCTATACTTTAAAGGATCAGGTATCTATTCTATTTGTGCCTCTCACTTTCTTTTGTATGCTCCCCGGAATATCTGTTTCACTTTCTTGTCTAAAGGGCTACAAAAAACCTCACCAATTGGTTGCTAGAAAGTATGCACATGCTAGTTTAGTTATTATGCCCACTAGTAATTGCTGTATTTATGGACAAAAGAAAAATATTGGCATATCAGTTGAAGTAAAGATAGAAAACTTCATTCCAAGAAATAGAGTAAACTACAAGCGGAATTTGAGCTTTAGGTTGTTTGCGATGTGTGTCTAGCACATGGTGTCTTTTTTGTATATTCTTTGTACATCGTTAATCAAGTTTATATGTTAATAACAAAATACCCTTACTTCAAGAGGTTCCATTAAAATGCATTGTTTGTGTTCAACTTGTATTAGTCAAAGAACATCTTGATCTTCCTGATTCATGTATTATCTCCTGAACTAAGACTAATAGCTGTTTGACGCTATCTGTGTTCCTTGGTTTGCTGAATTTTCATCTCTGATTATCATTCCAAGAGTATACTCTTGGAAATATTATTGTATAATATGCTCAATTTCCTTATTCCAGGAAACTCGTTATCGTCAACGATATCTGGATTTGATGTTAAATTTGGAAGTGAGGCAAATATTCAAAACCAGAGCTAAAGTAATCCAATATGTTAGGAAGTTTCTTGACGATCTTGACTTCTTGGAGGTATGTATACTATTGATCATTGCAATTTATGATTTTGGATGGAATGCACCTGTAATTTATTTCTCTATCTTTTTCTTAATGTCTTAACCCTTAGGTTGAGACACCAATGATGAACATGATTGCTGGAGGAGCAGCTGCCCGTCCATTTGTGACCTTCCACAATGATCTCAACATGAAATTGTTTATGCGCATTGCACCTGAACTTTATCTTAAGCAGTTAGTTGTTGGTGGATTGGACCGTGTATATGAGATAGGGAAACAATTTAGAAACGAGGGTATCGATTTGACTCATAATCCCGAGTTCACCACCTGCGAGTTCTACATGGCGTTTGCAGACTACTATGATTTGATGGAACTCACCGAGAAAATGCTAAGTGGTAATGCTAAAACTTCGGATTTGAGCCCCTTTTTGTAGTTTGACTCCTGCTGTGAGTTTTTTTTTTTAATTGTATCTTTTCATTCTCAATGAAAGTTTGGTGTATCATAAAACATATTAAAACTACTGATGTTGCATGTTACTCCTTTGATTTCTCCACCATCACCTTTCCCAGTTTCCATCTTTATCAACTTGTATCTGTACTCTGACACGGTTGCAACTGAAATAGGAATGGTGAAGGAACTTACAGGGGGCTATAAAGTAAAATACCATTCAAATGGGCTTGACAATGACCCGATTGAGATTGACTTCACTCCCCCTTTTAGGTCTGTTGGCAATAATTTTGTTTAGCCCATGTATGAGCTTGAACTGTGCTGACCAGAATCTTATTTGGGATTATCTTGAATATGTTTAATGTACTGCAGGAGGATTGACATGATAGAGGAATTGGAAAAAATGGCAAATCTTAATATACCCAAGAACTTGGCCAGTGATGAAGCTAATAAATATCTTAGAGAGGCGTGCCTGAAGTTTGAAATCAAATGTCCTCCACCTGAAACAACTGCTCGCTTGCTGGATAAAGTAATTCTCTTAATCATATTATCTTATCTTTAGAAACTAATCTTGTTTAGATAAGATATCATATGACATGAGGAACAGGAAATATACAAATAGAGAAGACGAGTTGTGAATCATACTTCTGGAAAATTTACACTAATACATTTTTTACAATTGTATTAAAGTAAATTTTTTGGCAGCTTGTGGGACATTTCCTAGAAGAAACGTGCGTGAATCCTGCTTTCATCATCAATCATCCCGAGATTATGAGTCCTTTGGCAAAGTGGCATAGAGCAAGACCTAGTCTAACTGAACGCTTTGAATTGTTCATCAACAAACATGAAGTAAGCTACCAAAACTCAACAATAATTTGTTTTCTGTTCATACTTGATCATACATGTGTCTGTATGTGTGCATGCCTCTGTGCTTCTGCGGTTAACATTTAATGGCTATTCAGGTATGTAATGCGTACACTGAATTGAATGATCCTGTTGTACAACGCCAGCGGTTTGTTGAACAACTCAAGGTATCCTGTAGTAAATACACAAATACAGTAGAGTTAAAACCCTAAAACATAAATGATGATTTGTGGAATGGATTGATGAATTGTTGAGTTTTATATTACTTGCTTTCTTTAACAGGATCGACAGTCGGGTGATGATGAAGCAATGGCTTTGGATGAAACATTTTGTACGTCTCTTGATTATGGATTGCCTCCTACTGGTGGCTGGGGAATGGGCATTGACCGGCTAGCTATGTTGATAACGGATTCGCAGAACATCAAGGTTTGTGTTTCACCCCTGTTTTCTTCTGGTTATGCATACTCATCAAATCTTTTTTTTCTCATGCTCTCTTTTTGTGAAAACAGGAAGTTCTTCTCTTCCCAGCCATGAAGCCTCAAGATGAATCATCAGCTCCCAAAGGTGCATACTATATAATTCCTTGTCTCTAGCTATTAACTTATTTTGGTTGTCATTACTGACAAGGTCTTACCTATTTAGAAACGGAACCTGTTTAATTTTGTTATTTCGAAAACACCCCATATTTGTTTCTTTCATTTTCATAGTGCTCAGGCACAACAATTATTTAGATTTTCAGGGGGAAAATGGATGGTTTGCTAATCCTAAAGTTGTTCAAAATGAACTTATTGTTTGTTTTTCGAGTACTAGACTGCATTTGCACCAAAGCCTGAAGAAGAGGATCTTAATCCCTCTTTTTGCGCTTTCTTACGAGAGCTTTTGATGGTAATGGCTTCCATTTTTTTTCCTCCCTTTTTCAGCATCGGCAGGAGTATAGGGATTACAACATGAGGGAAAACCAAGAGGTGCGTTTGCCATTATGCATTTATTTTATTATGTTAAAAATTTTGGTCCACATTTTTCAGCTCCCCCCTGTCGAAGCATTTTTTTTTGGAGCTTATATGGTTATCTTTTATAAACTTATTGTGAATGCAAAAGTGTCTAATTTGACGTCCCAAGTTCTTTCAAAATATTCATCTATGTACATTATTCTTATTATCTTTCTTACTATGCAATCCAACTTAGAAGAATGGAAGTAGAAACGTTGCGAATGAAGTGAGATATTGGGCTGAATTTCTGAACTCATTTGAGAAATCTGGGTTGATTATATTCTTTTTTTCATACGATTTGGATCAGAATTCTCTGTAAGTCATGGTGGAAGGCTCTGAACTGAACATTATCTCCAAGATCTTCTCAACATGCATGCACAGTAATAACTCCTCATGTATGGACAGAATTCACCCTGATAAGGCCGAGTGGTTTTTCTATTTAGTAGTAGTCATAAAAAATTTAATGAACACCAGATATTAACCATGTAAATTAGTCCAGTTCAGTCATTCTTCAACACTGAAAATCTCCTAGTTCTCTAGTTCAATATTTCACAAGAGGTTCAGGGTTCTAAAAAAATGGTTGACTTGGAACAAACTGAATCAACTGGGTTGGTTTGGTTATTCCCGAAACATTGACCATCTCGGTTTGTTTCTTTATTGAGAAATAACACGTGGCTTGGACACGTGGAATATCTTACTCATGGTGATTGCAACATAAACTTAACTATGGGTATAATTCGATATACTTTTTCAAGTTTTAGATTTAAGTCGATGAAATAGTAAGTTCATTGATTAGACATCTCAGCATCTCCCTCTTAAGAAACTTCGTCGCTTATTCATTCCTCTTGGCTATTGTAGTTTGTCTTGGTTATACGTGTTGCTCATTTGTTCCTCACAGCGTCCGAGCCATAACTCACCAATCTAATGTCCCTCCCATCACTCCCTCATCCCTCATTTTACCTTCTCATTTCCGCCCTCGGAGTACAGGTCGATCATGGCCCAAGCTAGTATGCCCAAGATATTATTTGGGCTTAGGTCAAGCCCATTGGATCAAAGTTTGGATCATCAAGCTCATGCAAGATTTGAGTTGGCCCTGACTAGTCCATCAAATATGGTGTAAATAGCAATACAAATTCCATTCTAAAAAAATGGTCAAGTAAAAGTCTGAAATTTAGCCACTATGAAATTAGGAGTGGCTTTGCCTATAATTTTTCCATATTTACCCCTCTGAAATCCTCAACCACACCCTAAATTTCAACCTCGAATCTTGTTCGCATATTTTGAATTTATCTTTTTTCATTTCAATTCTTTTGTGATCTTATCTCACTTCCAGATATATATCTTTTTTGTGATCTTATCTCATTTCAAATGTGGCCAAGACTCACATTTGAGGAACTTTTAGAACTCTTTGAGCACTTTACTCATCAAACCCATAAAGACTACTCAGGCATTAGTCTGTCCAAACCCGATTTAAAAATTTGTATAAGGAATGTTGCACTCCCTTATCATCAATTAACGATAGTCTAATCGAAGGTTGATCTTAGAGAACATAACTTCCTCATCAAACAAGTCATCAATTTGCAACAAAGAGTATTTGTTTTCTATAGTCACTGTATTTTGTTTCTGGTAGTCTATGCACAGGCATATAGACTCATCATTCTTCTTTACAAATAGAACTCTTGGGCGTATGAAGCCCTTATGTAAGAGTTTTTGAATATGCAATTTCAACTCATTGAGTTCTATTGAGACCACTTGTATAGATCCCTAAAGATAGGTTGTCCCTAGCTCAAGCTTATTGTTAAACTTGACATATCGCTCTCTTAAGGATCGCCTCCATTCACAAACTCCCTCAAATCTTCTTGCTCTCTATCATTGATCAACTTTGCCAGCTAAAGGGCAATGACATTGCTCTTAGGCATATGTGCTACTACAAACCCTCGAATGTCAGCTTTCAAGCCCATAACCAATCGTTTGACTTTCTTTGCCACTGTATCTACTAGTTCTATGCTAAAATGAGAAACTCTCTCGTACTCATTTGACAATCCTGTTCTCCTGTTGGAGTTGCAGAATTGGTGTGTTTTCTTAAACTATGTCCAAGTGATTGACCCGTTATTGACATTAATAGACCTTGAGCAAAACTGCCACCAAAGTCATTCATCCTCACGTAACATATAGGTTGCACATCCTACTTGGTGATCCTTTACAGCGGAATTTTTTCTATATCGCAAACAACCATAATTAAACTACTGCCGAGTCTCGAGATAACCCTTCAAACAGTTTGAGGTCACACCCCTTAAAGTATCTCAGATACCTCCCCTCCTAAGTTGTGCCCCTGTATCTTGGGTTAACTAGGCTACCAGCCCAACAATAGCTACATGCACTAGAAATTGCAAAGCTCCTATAATCGTCATCCTCGAGATGTCTAGGTTCATTTTGGCAGGCTGCTCCTAAGATGGAGCCCCAACTGCTGGGTTTGGATTCAGGCTAGCAGGTTGATCCTGGGATGGAGCCTCGACTGTTGGGTTTGTCCTAGCCCTTGGAGGCCTACCTCGCTTCCCCTGCCTTCCTCTCCCTCTACTGCGTGGTCGCATGCTGATTTCTACAAGTTCTTAGGTTTGTTTCTTAGTTTGATATGAAAGTACTATTTTTTTTTACAAGATTTCTTACCTTAGCTTGAAATTTTTACAAGTTTTTTTGAAAATATAAACGATATTTTAGATTTAATCTTGAAATTCAAATAAACGAAACAAAGTTGCTGTGAGATTTTACCATGGTTGAAGAGGGGAACAAAATATTCCTTAGGTGTGGAAAACCTCTCTTTAGTAGACATGTTTTAAAAGCCTTGAGGGGAAGCTCGAATGGGAAAGCCCAAAGAGGACAATATCTGTTAGCGGTGGGTTTGGACTATTACAAATGGTATCAGAGCTAGACACCGGATGATGTGCTAGTGAGAACGCTATCCCCCAAGGGGGTGGATTGTGAGGTCCCACTTCGATTGGAGAGGGGAACAATGTATTTATTATAAGGGTGTGAAGACCTATCCCTAGCAGCACATTTTAAACCCAATAGGAGTGGATTGTAAGATCCCACTTTGGCCTTATAAATGTGTGAAAACCTTTCACTAGCAAGACACATTTTAAAAACCTTGAGGGGAAACCCGAAAGGGAATGCCCAAAGAGGACAATATCTACTAGCGGTGGGCTTGAGCTATTACAAACGGTGTCAGAGCCAGACAACGAATGGTGTGCTAGCAAGGACGTTGGCTCCCGGGGGGTGGATTGTGAGATTCCACATCGGTTGGAGAGGGGAACAAAGTTTTTCTTATAAAACCTAGGGGAAGGGGATGAATTGTGAGACTCCACATCGGCCTTATAAAGGTGAAGGTGTGGAAACCTCTCACTAGCGGATATGTTTTAAAACCTTGAGGGGAAATCTAAAAGGAAAAGCCCAAATAAGACAATATCAATATCTGCTATAACGATGGACTTGTGCTATTACCGGTTAGATTTATAAACAGAAAACTAATTAAATAAAAAATCCAACATTTAATTTGACATGACACATGAATAACAACTTCTACAATTTAGAGTAAAATTTGAAAGAAAAATAGACAAAATAAGATTTGAGTTTTTAGATACACTATCTCTATAACCAAATAGTGTAGTTCTTATTAAACTTCTATTTCTTTCGGCTCATTGTTGTGCTGCTGTTTGATCTTCATGGCTTATAGCTTTGTCCCTCATTCATTCGTCATGGCTATTCCAGTTTGATTTGGTCGCGTTTTTTTGTTGCTCTATTGCTCCTCACAGCTAACAAAGCTTTATAGCTCTCGTTCTAATGTCTTATTTCAGCCTCATTCAGATGGCTTGGCTCTAAGGTTAGTACACAAGGCCCAAGTTACATGAATAATAAGAGTGATAGTTGAAGCAAGCATATGGACATCAAATATCTAGGCATAAGAGAATGAGTTAAAGATGATAAATTTTTTATTCAGCACATTACCACCAAGTTCTCTTAAATGCTCTTGCATACGCTACGCTACTATGGGTTTAGAAGAATAGAACACAATCTTTAACTAATGTCAATAGTGTTCGTTCTTTCGTGATAGACATGCCATGTGAAATATTTGATTATTAGAGAGATTTTCGTAAATGGAAGTGATGTGAGTAAAGCGGGGTTGATGGAATGAAAATGTAATAACTCTTACTCAGGATTCGGAATCTAGATTCGGCACCTGATGACTCCTAGCATTCTCCTGCATCCCTTGTGACAGTCACTTACTCCTTGCTTCTAAGAGTGAAGACTGTCTCCATAGACTAACACGGGTTCTTCTAGCATGTTTTGTCCTCTCACATGCATTGTACGAAAATTTCTAGGAGGTCATCCAACATAGAATTGCTCAAAGCAAAGTATACTTACCTATGAAGTTCCTATGATTGAGACACCTGAAAAAGATGTACTATGTTGGTATAGTTTTAGGCATTTCTTAGCCATCATATCCTCGGGATCGTTTTCATTCGGATGTGGTCTTGGTTCATTTATATTCTCATCTTTTACTACCACAGAAAACCATTTGGGAGATAAAAGGAAGTATAGAAGCAAGTCCTAAAGGGACTTAGGATGAGGGTAAAGTTAACGAGAAGAAAAAACGAAGAGATTTCAACGAACATCGATCCATCAAGAAGCTAGAGAAGGAGTTTCTAAAAGTAGCCTTTCATCTTACTTATTGGGAAGAGAACCATTCTAAGCCACAAAGCATTGATTTTTGAAAGGAATGGGCACACCCATTTTGTAAGAAGGCCTCATTTCATTTTCAAATCATGTATAGAAGCTCTTAGTGTGATTGATAGGCATAAATAGAATCTCCCACCTCAAATGGGACCCTCCACCCTCTTTGGATGCCCTTCCCACTAGTAAACCCTAATGAGCTTTTCCACCCTACAAAACATGTAGCAAGGAATCTTGAATAATGACATTATACAACTCAAATTCAATTGGATTCTCATTAGAAAGGAACTCATTTCTTCTCGTTAAATTATTTATTCCGTCCTTATACTTTTGAAAATCTCAAATAAGTCCCTAAACTTTTAATTTTATCAGTGACTTGTTCAATATTTTTCGAAATTACCAACCTACTTGACACGATATCAAGAATCTGTCCGAAAAATATTTTTACAGTGAGCTATTAGAAGACAAAAAGTCGCCTAAGAACTTATTAGACTCTTTAAAGTTCGAGAACTAAATAGATACAAATTTGAAAAAAAAATGAGATAAATCGACGATTGACCAAAATTTAGGGTATCCATTTTTGAAGTTCGAATATTTTACAATTAATACCATACAAAGGTTTCGTTCTCGTGAATCTTAAGCTACGAAAAAGTCGCCAATGTTCTAAAAGATAAGAACAAATCTCTCACACGTGTTAAACCATTTTTTTTCCCTTTTATCTATTTTAATTAATATAATATTATTATTTAACTAATATATTTTATTTTAATGATTTTAAAAAATCATTTAAAAAGTAAAAAGAAATCAATTTGATTTTGGTTTCTGTTGACGCCATGTTTCTTAATTATTTATCATTTTTTTATATGGTAATTAATAAATTATTGTTCTATTTTCTTGTGCAAGTAGGAGAGGAATTACAATTAATTTTTTTATTTTTTTTTTGGTTAGTTATAATAATTAAAATTCTAA